TGGTCAGAGCGTCAGCCTGTGCACCAGAGGATCATGTGCTCAATTTCAGTCAAGGACATGTACCTGGGTTGTAGGTTCGATCCCTGTCCTGGGTCAAGGTGCATGTGGAAGGCAACCAATCGATGTTTCTCTCTCTTCCTCTCTGTCTCTCCCTCTCTCCCCCTCCCCCCTCCCTTTTACTCTCTCTAAAAAATTCAATGGAAAAAATAGCCTCATTTCTCAGACGAGGATTGGAAAAAAAAAAAAAAAAGATAAACGAAACCATAGCCCTGGCCCAGTGGTTTAATTGGTTGGAGTGTCATCCCATACACCAAAAAGTTGCAGTTTTGATTTACAGTCAGGGCACATACCTGTAGTACACTCAGTTAGGGTTCCATCCTTGGTCAGGGCGATTATGGGAGGCAACCAGCAGCCAGCCAATAGATGTTTCTCTCTCTCTTTCTCTCTCTCTCTCAAAATCAATAAACATATGTCCTCAGGTGAGGACAGGAAACCATAACAGACCTTAACCACAAGAGGAAAGAATAAAGAGAAAAAATGGAACCACTAATTGTTGTATCTGCCCTATCACTGTTTGACATCAGCATCTTCTCCTTGTACCTATCCCCTTAAACAATCTTAGTAGGGTAAAGGTACCATGTTGTCTTATCTTTCTTTTTGAAATAGTAGTTATCAAACATTTTGGTCTCAAGACCCCTTATACTCTTAAAAATTATCAAAGAATTTTGGTCATGTGGATTATACCTATTAAAATTAAGATATTTTTAAGGTATTAATTAATTTAAAAATAATAATAAAACCATTATATATAAGTATAAATAATATAGACTTTATGAAAATTTTGTTTTTCAAAACAAAAAAACAGTGAGGACAGAAAGATTTTACAAATGCTGAATTGTCATATCTGCTTCTGTGTGCAATCTTTAGATGTTGTTTTGGTTGAAGTATGTGAAAAAACTCTGGATATGCAGTTTAAACAGGGAGGAGTATTTTACTAGCCTTTCAGATAATTGTGGATATTCTTCTTTGATATTGCATTAAGATTCGACATGTGGCAGTATATAAAAGATTAGTTGCAATGCAAAATCAAAAATCATTACGAGTAAACTTTCTTACTGTATTATATTAACATCAATTGCATTTGAATGGATAATTTACCTGTGAATTATTTTGTAACATTAAGCATTGATCATTTTGGGGGTGGGGGGGATGGTTTGCTGAGCTATTCAGATCTTCCATATGTTGATCTGTTTTATTAAACAATATTTTTAAAATCACAATTATTAATATCATTACTGAACTCATCACAAAGTTATCAAAAGAGTCTTTAAATATTGGGAAGATATCAAGCTCATATGAAAGGTACAAGTTTTCCAAAATTATAATTTTTACTTGAAACCAAATTTTATGTCATTGGCAACAAATATTATCATTTGTATTCCTTGAAGTGACAGGATTTCTTGGTTCACTTTGGGACAATATCTCTTAATATACCTAAGTATGAATAACTAGTCTATCTCTCAGTTTTAGTAAATGATATTCCTGAAAAAAGCTGCTAGTTCAACTCTCAACTCAAAAAATTATCTAAGTTCTTTTTCCTTGACAGAGCCATTGTACATGGATATCTAGCAGATGTCATATCTACTTATATAAAAACCCTGGGTGTAACATCATGGCCGGAACCGAGACCAACCGGAAGGAAGTCAGTCCTGCATGGGTCGTCTTGGAAACAGCTGCGCCCTCCCCCAGCTGTTTCCTGGAGGGTGGGGTTTCAGGCAGGAACTTGCCCTCAGGGAGAGGTTTAAGGCAGGAACCCGCCCTCAGAGCAGAGCATGGAAGTGAAATGATTTATAATGGATCTATTATTGAAGCTACCTTTGGAAATATTATATCTATAGATCAGTGGTTCTCAACCTTGGCTGCACATTAGAATCACCTGGGAATCTTTTTAAAATCCTGATTTATGGGCCTCATCCTCCGCAAATTCTGTTTCTTTGTTACTAATGTTGTGGCCCCACCCCATAACAAAGAAACAATTTCTGGAGGATGAGGCCCAGGAATCAGTATTTTACAAAGATTCCCAGGTGATTCTAATGTGCAGCCAATCTTGAGAACCACTGCTATAGATAATATTAAAAATATACTTAAACGTGCAGTTCTTTGTCCAAAAAATGAGCATGTTCAAAAATTAAATGAAGAAAATTTGGATATACTCGATGGAGATTTTCACACATATTTGAGTGATGATTCCATTGACTCCACAGATGATGCTGAAAAGGAAAATTTTCCCATCGAATTTCTTAATATTATTACTCCTTCAGGAATGCCGTGTCATAAATTAAAATTGAAAGTGGGTGCAATCATCATGCTATTGAGAAATCTCAATAGTAAATGGGGTCTTTGTAATGGTACCAGATTTATTATCAAAAGATTATGACCTAACATTATCGAAGCTGAAGTATTAACAGGATCTGCAGAGGGAGGGGTTGTTCTGATTCCAAGAATTAATTTGTCTCCATGTGACACTGGCCTCCCATTTAAATTGATTCGTCGACGGTTTCCCGTGATGCCAGCATTTGTGATGATTATTAATAAATCACAAGGACAAACTCTAGACAAAGTAGGCATATTCCTACCTGAACCTGTTTTTGCACGTGGTCAGTTATATGTTGCTTTCTCTCAAGTTTGAAGAGCATGTGATGTTACAGTTAAAGTTCTAAATACTTCATTACAAGGGAAATTAGTCAAGCACTCTGAAAGTGTTTTCACTCTTAATGTGGTGTACAGGGAGATATTAGAATTAGTTTAATCACTTTATCAGTCATTGTTTGCACCACTGTTGTTTTTATATCATGTTTTTGTTGTTTTCATATCATGTTTTTGTTGTTTTCATATCATGTTTTTGTTGTTTTCATATCATGTTTTTGTTGTTTTCATATAATGTTTTTGTCATTTTTATATCATGCCTCTGTTGTTGTTATATCCTTTTGTTACTGTTTATTTATTAATAAATTTATATATTATTTTCATATACATTTTACTAATTTCCTTTCATTTCTCACACTTCTATTATAGAGAAAGGGCAAATAGCAATATTAAAATATCTCTGCTAATTAATTACCTTTTTAAAAAAAATATATTTTTTATTGATTTTTTTACAGAGAGGAAGGGAGAGAGATAGAGAGTTAGAAACATTGATGAGAAAGAAACATCGATCAGCTGCCTCCTACACACTCCCCACTGGGGATGTGCCCGCAACCAAGGTACATGCCTGCTGGAAACCATTTACTGTCTTCATTAGCTGAGTATAGACAGAGACCCCAAAAGTTAGTAACCTTGAAGCCCTAGCAAAGGTCAGGACTGTGTACCACCAAGTTAATCTAGATACCACCCAGTTAATCTAGATAATGATAGCTGAAGCAACCTCCCTACCTTTAATCATGTAAATTGCCTAAGGGTCATGTTATGACCTAATCTGTGTGTCATTGAAACCTCCTTACCCTAGGGCTACCCCAGACAAACCTCCTTACCCTAGGGCTACCCCAGACCAAATAAAAGGTTGGAGAGGCCAGAGCATTGGAGGAAGTCTCTCCCTTTGAGTTGGACTTGCCCGCCTGGCTCCCCAACATTTCCAAATTATCTCGTGTCTTTTTCTCTCATTTGCTGTGCGGCTCCTCTTTCAGATACCGAACCCTACTCCACACTGGATGTGGAAGGAAACTAACTCAGCACATGCCCTTGACCGGAATCGAACCTGGGACCCTTGAGTCCACAGGCCAATGCTCTATCCACTGAGCCAAACCGGTTAGGGCAATTAATTCCTTTTTAATGTGCACAAATTTCGTGCACCGGGCTACTAGTCTATATATATATAAAAGCCTTAGCGACCGTTCAATCAGTAGCTATGACACGCAATGACCACCAGGGGGCAGATGCTCAACAACACACAGGCATGGAAACATGGAACAGACTGAAGAATCTCAGAAGGTAGAGGGGAGGGGGGAGGGCGGGAAGAAATTAACCAAGGTTCTTATATGCATACTAGAGGCCCAGTGCACGGATTCGTGCACTGGTGGGGTCCCTCGGCCTTGCCTGCGGAGATCAAGCTGAAACCAGCAGTCCGATATCCCCCAAGGGGTCCCAGATTGTGAGAGGGCGCAGGCCAGGCTGAGAGACCCTGCCGGTGCACGAATCCATGTACCTGGCCTCTAGTAGAATAATAAAAAGATGTATACAAGGGTCAGAATTTAATAAAATTAACTTTTACTGCTTCATCAAGGGAATCCTTAAATGAAATTGTTTGTTTTTATTTATTCTTGTACATGTATGACAGTAAAGTCTGTGATGACTAGCTTGAATGCAGTGCCTTGATTTATGCTAAGGATCCAGCAGTTTCCCCAACATTGCTTTTGCCTCATCAGTACAAATGCCAACACAGTGAAAAGGGTAAGTAATGTCTTAGCTGTATTAGAAAAAGGGTTTTGATGGCACAGGCGCAGGGTTCCACTAAGAATTGATTTCTATAGTACATTAATTCCTGGATTAACATGTACCACTTTCTAGTTGTTTTTTTTACTTTGATAGTAGGTAAATAATATTTTGAGTAAATGTTGCCATTGAGATAACCTGGTATTTAATTAAATACAGTATATGGGTTGCTTTGTCATCATGTAGGCCCATGATCCTCAAATTTTTTCATTAGATACTCCATCCAAACAAATGTTGAGGTGATATCCCTGGTATGTATATATTTATTTCTTTATAAACTACATGCGTAGTGCTATATATTTGGCACACTATAAGTCATGCCTACAAAGATAGGCATTTTGAAAAGATGAGATCGAAATTAAACAATATTCTTAAATATAATATTTTATTTTACTATCAATAAAACATTTCTTTGCCTTCACAGAAAAAAGAATGTTAGTGACAGAAATATAATTGAGTATGTTTGTTTTTATAAAATTTGGTTTGGTACCATGGAGTAAAGTGATATGAAGTTCTGGTTACAAGTTTAAGTTATTTCAATATTTGGTATTAATGGTTCTCACATCTAAAGAAGAAAATCCTGCAAAAAATTAGCTCTTTTGTCTTGGCCGCCAATGTGCCATCCAGACTGAGGAAGACCCGGAAACTTTGGGGCCCAGGAGCCACAGCCATGGCTGCATCAGCAGCACAATGAGCATTGGGAGGCGGAGGCAATGCTGCTGGCACACACACATCATCACAGAATCAACTTTGACCAATCTCACCCAGGTTCCTTTGGGAATGCTGGTATGAGGATTATGTCTTCAAGAGGAACCAGAGCTTCTGCCCAACTGTCAACCTTGATAAACTGTGGACCTTGGTCAGGGAGCAGACACAGGTAAATGCTGCCAAAACCAAAACCAAACAACAGGACTGGTGCTGCTCCTATCATTGACATGGTGCAATGGGGCTACTACAAAGTTCTGGGGAAGGGAGAACTCCCAAAGCAGTCTGCATCGTGAAGGCCAATTCTTCAGCAGGAGCACTGAGGAGAAGATTAAGGCTGTTGGGGAGGCCTGTGTCCTGGTAGCTTGAAGCCACACAGAGGGAAGTTCATCAAATGCCCACAAGTGCTTTTCAAAAAAAGAAAGGATTATGGAGTTAATTGAAGAGTTAGCATCATACAAAATCAGAGTACTAATTTTTCAGTACACCCACCAATTATTTTAAAAAAAATTTAAGTAGCAAATATCCATTTTCCCAAATGTCAACAATTGTTCTTGCAAAGTTTTTGCATTTTCATATTTTAAACAAATGGGTTCAAAAGATTTAAAAATAGGACAGATAGTTTTTAGAAGATTTAATAATCTTTTCAGAAGATTTAAAAATAGGACAGATAGTTTTTAGAAATATAATAAGTGTTTTGATGGAAGATTTTTAAAGCTGACATATATAATTTTTGGCAACAAAATCCCATAAGGATGGAAATATGTCCAAACATCTATTGTCAAAATGCCTTACATTAGAGGTGTTTCTTTCAAAATACATATTTTCTCAGTCATTGTTAAGTGTTCCCTTCCCCTTAAAATGACAAATGTGTTTGTTTTATTTTGTGTATTATTTCCATACAATCTCTTAGAGAACAGTTTTGCAGATTCTTTAAAAAGTTAAATATACACCTATCATATGACCCAGCCATTCTACTCCTAGTTACTCACTCAAGAGAAATAAAAGTATATGTTCATATAAACTCTTGTACATAAAAGTAGTTTCATTTGTGTTGGACAAATATTTAAAACAATCTAAATATCCATACAAATTAATTAAGGGTAGTCCTCAGGCAGGGTAGCATATGCCTACACTATTCATCACTAACTACATTGCCTGTCCATACAGGCTGCCCTCCAGCTAGGAAGTAGCAGAGTTCTGTTGTGTGGCCTATCCAGCACACACACACAGACATGTACGAATGTGCACATAAAAGATAACTTACCATCCAGAGAAAGTACTCACTTCCTTGTGGCTCACCCAGCACTTAACTTCTCTATGATGAACCTAAACGTCTTAAACCAATGGAGTTGTGTCACTGTGCTTTTGTTTTCAGACGAAAATAAACATTTGATCATCAGACTCAAGTTATTGGCCCCAGGACGACACTAGTTCAAATCAGAATCATAATACTAGCTGTAAGTGGACTCCAGGGGAATCTTAACTCCTGGCTGCTGTTACCAAGCTAGCTAATCCCCAGGTACCCTGGGAGTCACAAAATATCCTATCCAACCACTTCTTTTTTTTTTATTTTAAAAATATGGAACGCTTCACAAATTTGCATGTTATCCTTGTGCAGGGGCCATGCTAATCTTCTCTGTATCATTCCAATTTTAGTATATGTGCTGCCAAAGCGAGCACCCAACCACTTCTTTTTAAAAAAAAAAAATATATATATATATATATATATATATATATATATATATATATATATATACATATTGATTTTTTACAGAGAGGAGGGGAGAGGAATAGAGAGTTAGAAACATCGATGAGAGAGAAACATCAATCAGCTGCCTCCTGCACACCTCCTACTGGGGATGTGCCCAAAACCAAGGTACATGCCCTTGGCCTGAATCAAACCTGGGGCCCTTCAGTCCGCAGGCCAATGCTCTATCCACTGAGACAAACCGGTTAAGGCCAACCACTTCCTAAATAGAACTAAAGTTCAGGGTCAAACTGCCCTCTTGTGGTAAAACACTGATATCTGTTTGGTCTCAGAAGCCACAACCAGCGGCATCAGTGCCTTAAGGGAGTTTTCCCACCACTATCTGAGGCCTTCCTTGGGCAACCAGGGGGGAAAAGATAACCTTAAAGAAGCAGGGGCGAGGATGAGGAGCAGGGGCACAGCAGCGAGCAGATCATCTTTGAAGTTCTAGTTACTGTTGAACTGTTCAGAAGGAATACAAGGGAGAGTGCGGGTTAGTCCTGTGGAGGAAGATCTCCCAGCAATATCTACAATGGGTACTAGCCAGCCAGTTCTGCTAAATTCAAAAGGATAAAACAATATCTGATGCTGCTTACAAATGTGCTGCCTTATGCCTTATAGAAACTGTGATTTTAAACATAGTTTGCATTGAATATTAAGTTTTATTAAACGCATACCTCCCAGTTCAAGAAAAAGAATAATATTATACTACCTCAAAAGGCCCTCGGTGCTCTTCCCTGATGGCATTCCTTTCTCCCCACCAGAGGAAATCACTACCCTGAAATTTGTCTGTGGAATCTCCCTGCTTTTCTTTAAGTTATATAAACATGTATGTATAGGCCTGCCCCATATGCAGCCCTGGTGGAGAATATATGGAAGCCCAGGGACCACATAGCCAAATGTATAAAATGTATCAAGCTAGCATGTTAATGGGTTTTTTTTAAGTATGCTTTGTCCTCCTGTCTTGAAAAGTGAGCCTTCCTAAAGATGTGGAAGGCCAGTCAAATATTCCTGATTACCAAAGAGGTTGAGCATTTTTGCATCTTTATTGACAATTCCTCTACTGTGGAATGATTAAGTATTTTGTGATTTTTCTTTTATTTTTTAAATTGCATTATTGTTTTTCTTTTTTATTGAATTTATTAGGGTACCACTGGTTAAATAGTTAGTTTTCAGGTGCACAATCCCACAACACTGTACACTGTATTGTGTGTTCACCACTCCAAAGTCAAGTCCCCATCCATTACCATTTATCCCCACTATACCCTTCACCTCCACCCACCTGCCCCCCTCTCCACCACAATCACCTCACTGTTGTCCATGAGTGGTTTTTTTTCTTTTTTGTTCAATCCCTCTGCCCTCCCCCAGCCACCCAACACCCCCACTCATGTGATTTTTCTAATGGATTGTCTTTTCCTTATTGATTCATCGGAGAGTTTTACATGTCCAGATAGTAACCCTTTGTCCAATTGCAAGCATTGCAAATGCCTGCTCCCAGGTTGAGCTTGCATTTCCACTCTTTTGGAGTACTTTAAAATTTTACTGATTTCAGAGAGGAAGGGAGAGGGAGAAACATCAATGATGAGAGAGAATCATAGATTGGTGGCCTTCTGCACGCCCCCTACTGGGGATCAAGCCTGCAACCGGAGCATGTGCCCTTCACCAGAATCAAACCCTGGACCCTTCAGTCTGCAGGTTGCTGCTCTATCCACTGAGCAAACCAGCCAGGGCTAAATTTTAATTCAGTTGAGTCTATTAACTTTTTTAAAATTAGTATGTGTAAAAGTTTGAAACCATGTCTAACACATATTGTTTATTGTAACTTATTTTCCTTTATGATGTGAACTTTTTGCATCTATTTAATGGACAGAGACTTGACTTGGAATAGTGAACACTCAATACAGCATACATATGATATGTTGTGGAATTGTGCACCTGCAACCTGTATAATTTTAACACGTGTCACCACAATAGATTTAAAAAATACATAAAATTAAAAAATATTTTCCTACCCCAAAGTCATATTTTCCTGTCTTCAAAAACATTTTTTACATTTGCCCTTTACATATAAGTTTTTAATCTACCCGGCATGGATTTTGTGTGTGTGTGTGTGTGTGTGTAATGGCTTTATTGAGATAAAATTCATCCTTTTAAAGTACACAATTCAGTGTTTTAGTATATTCACAGTTGTTCACCCCCATCTTATTCCAGAACATTTTTATTCCCCCCCCAAAAGAAACTCCACAGGCGTTGACTTTAATAATGGCATGTATATAACCAATAACCAATGTCCCAGCACCAATTTTATTCTAGTCCAAGCTCAATGATTTGCAACAGCATCTGTCACAAATCAAGTTTTTCTATCTCTACAATTTCTGTTAGATCTCTATTCTCTTCCATTGGTCTATTTGTTTATTCCTGTACTGATATGTGCTATCTTAATTACTATTAAAGGCGAGCTCTATCATTCTATCTTTCCTCAGAAGTATCTTGGTTTCTATCAAAACTTAGTACTTCTGTATAAATTTTAGAAATAACTTGCCAATTTCCATAGAAATCCCATTTGGGCCCTAACTGGTTTGGCTCAGTGGATGGAGTGTCGGCCTGCAGACTGAAGGGTCCCAGGTTCGATTCTGGTCAAGGGCATGTACCTTGGTTGTGGGCACATGCCCAGTAGGGAGTGTGCAGGAGGCAGCTGATGGATGTTTCTCTCTCATCGATGTTTCTAACTCTCTATCCCTCTCCCTTCCTCTCTGTAAAAAATCAATAAAATATATATATTTTCCAAAAGAAATCCTATTTGGAAACTTAGTTAAAATTATGTTAAATCTATGCACCTATTGAGGAAAATTGACACATTTTAAAATATTGACTCTTCTTTCCATAAAATGGCTATAACTTGCTAATAATTTTTGCATGTTCATGAGTGAAATTGTCATCTTTATTTTTGTACTGTCAGATTTTGATAATGAGTTTTATCTGTTTTGTGTAAAATTGGAATTTTTTCTGAAAGTTTAGTAAAACTACTAAACTGATCTAGGTTTGGCACTTTATTTGGGGAGAAGAATTTTCACTATTGGTTGAATTTCCTTAAAGGTGAAAGAAGGATCATGATTTACATATATTCTTGATCCTATTTGCTCTTTCTAGAAATACCTATATCCTTTTGACCAAAATTTTCAAATATTGGGAAGAAGTTTATTTTAAAATCAATGCATATGACATTTTAATTCTTCATATTGTTTATTTATGCCATCTTTCTTTTATGCTTGATCAAGCTTGTCTAAGTGGTCAATTTTATTACTCATTTTGAATCCCCAACTTCAGGCTTTCCTAATTCTCTCACAGTAAGGTTTTCTTCTTAATTTCTTCTGTTAGCTTTATTATTTCCTTCCTTCCTTCTTTCTTTCAGTTGAAATTTTAAATTTTCAGCTTCATTTTTTCTAATGTAAACAAGAAAATACTTGCATTGTCTGCTATGCTGTGTTAGCGCAATGCCAGAAGTTTCTATATAGTTTGTTTTCATTAAGTTCCAAATTATACCCATTATGATTTCCCTTTGATCTCTGAATTGTTCTAAAGTGTTGCGTTTGTAATATTCACCTTTATTAATTTTATCCTGGATGTGCACACAAGATGTTCTGAATCAGAGATCGA